AACATGGCAATTAATTAAAACTTACTCCCAATCAAAAAATGGTAGATTAACAGTATTAAATCCTGATTATACCAAAGATGAACCATTTGATATTGAATAAGAATAATAAGGAATTGCTATGAATTTGTGAAAGACCTTTATTACTTTTTATGGGGAAGTAAAGATAAGAAGAGTGCTATAATCCAAAGACTATGGGGGTTGAAAACATTGATTATATGGATTTCTTAATTAAAATCAACATGGATTCTACTCAGACACTAAATGGTTAAAACTTTTTGAATCAGAATTAGGAATGAAAATTGAATCTCTTTGGGTAAGAGGATTATATTTACAGTTAAGTTGTGTAATAAAATAAGCAACAAATTTTGGAAAGAGGTTTTACTTAATTGGGTAAAAATCATTGACTTCAGTGGTAGTCAAAAAACATGTACTACTCAAATTCTTCATGAACATATATGGTTTAACCCAAGAATTAAAATAAACAATTCCTCTGTATTTTTGAAAAGTTATTTTGATGCAGGCTTTGTTTTCATAAGAGATCTGTTTGACGTTGAAGGAAAATTTATAAGCAGAGTAAATAATCTGAATATATAACTAATTTTGTAGAATATACCGAAAAGATATTGAAAAGTATTGATATTGAAAAAATAAGAAAGTGTCCATTTTATCCCAAATTCAATTTACATTTTTTTTTTATAAAAGCACAAATGGTTGTAAAGATATGTACAATATACTCATCAAGAAGAAAAAGCAAACAATTAAATCAATTAAAGCATTAGAAAAATGTGAAAAATAATGGAATATATTTTGGTGATTTAGAATGGAACAAAATATTTGAACTACCATTTAAAGTTACAAAAGATGCAAAATTTCAGTGGATGCAATTTCAAATCCTGCACAGGATTATTGCAACAAATAAATACCTTTATAAGCTTAAACTTATTGAATCACCTGTTTGCTCATTTTGTAAACAAGAAGTTGAAACAATTGAACATTTATTTTTTGAATGTTTCTGTGTAAAAAGAATATGGTGTCATATAGAGGAGTGGTTTATAAAAAACTTCCATTTAATATTAATTTTGATAGAAAAGATATACTGTTTGGAATATACAACAATAAAAACATGTATAGAATGCATAATATAATAATACTTACTGTTAAACAATTTATTTTTGCCAGTAGGTTTAAAAATATGCCTAAATTAAGCATAGTAATGCTGGAAAAAGATATTGTAGATAGAATACTAGTTGAAAAGGCTATTCTTTTAAGAAATTGTAAATTTTCAGAACATGAAAATAACTGGAAAATTATTTGTGATATGCTATAATGTTCTTCAAATTTATAGAACTCAAATGTACCAGTATGGTAAAATAGTGAAAACTGTTCCCCCACTTCACTTTGTTTTCTTTTGAAAAGGAAAATGAAAATCCCCTATGTTTACTTCTTTGTATATAAAGCTTTCGCAATGAAGATTCATAATATACATGAATGTCATAATTTTTTTGAAACTTTATGAAATGAATTTGTATTTAGCATTTACCAAAGAGAATTTGTATTAAGTATATAATATGAATTACATGGAAGAAAAATTATAAAGTATATGTATGTATTGAATGTAAACAAATCTATTGTACATACATAGCAAAAATAAATTCTATGAATTAAAAAAAATAAAAAATGGGGGTTAATGTGCATCTTTTGGCGCTACAGTACATTTAATAGGACCTTCTTGCACTGGAATTTGTGTCTTAATTAAATATTACATTTTCGACGTTTTCCCTGCAATATTTTTATCCAAATGAAGCAAGAAACAAAATGAACTCTAAGTCTGTTTAAAAAAAGACACTTTAAAATCGTAAGTAAGAAAAAGTTTAAAATTACTTCGCATAATCAATTATTTGATCTTTCTGCACTAAAAAAATGTGATTTTTCTGGCATTGAAAATTTAATAAGCAAGAAAATTATTTTAAAGTCTTAAACTTTTATTGATTTTAAGCAAATAGGTCAAAATTACCTTGAATATTTAGAAAAAAAACATCAAAAGTAGGGGTACATGATGTTAATTTTCAGATATTACTAAAAAGTGTCAATTTTACGTTTAATCTGGCTCAATTTTTTCCCGGGTTTTCAGAATATTTCTACTTTTTGATAGAATTCATATGAAAAATTTAATAGATATTTCAGAACCTGGATGACACATTTTACTGCAAAAAAACCAGCTTTGTGTGCAACCAGCATGGAAAAATAGGAATCCAAAATAAAGAGTACTGTAAGTTATAGTTCAAAATGAAAAAAACTAATGATTTTCGTCTAAAAAACCTTCCGCCACTAAATATAGTCCCTAGTTTAATTCAACTTGAATGGAATGTAATCGCGGTTTTTCATTGAATATAGTTTAATTTGCATTGTAGAATTAAGATTTATTGTTAGAATTCAAAAATGATACAGAATTTTATCAATAAAGGACATGACCAAAATCCACTCAAAAACTCAGGATCGAACGTCCTTAAGATACTATCAAAATGAATGCACTATGCACTTGCGCGCGAAATACGCAAAATGGCCAATGCATTTGAAAAATAGAAAAAAATGTGTACTGGAAAGGATTTTATTTATTTATTCTCACGATATTTAGATATTTTAGTTGTCTAGACAACATGCCATAATCACCTTGCATGTGTATGCACGTGCATGCGCATACAATGTATTAATTAAATGACATATAGTTGATAGTATTCTATCCTTTATAATTCTTGATGAAATCCTTCGATACTGATCATATATTTAAAAATGTCTTACAGGAATTAGGCGCAAAAAGGGATTTGGGGAAGATCTGTAACGGTCCTTGTTTCAATAAGAACTAGTTTAATTTCAGTTTATTAATACAAATCAGGAATAATGATAAAATAAAAAGGGATTTTGACCACTTAGGATTTAAATTTTAGGGTATATATATTACATAGAAAAATCTTGTCGAAGCTTCTTCATTTCTCACAAAAAGCTTTTGAAAATTTCTAAAATTCTTGCACTTAATTACCCCCCCCCCCCCCCAAAAAAAAGATTATTGCATAGATGATTTCATATTTGCAGGGGAGGAAATGGAGTCATTCTTAAATCAATGCTAACATTGCAAAGGATTTCTGTTGAACTGGGGGTGCTGTTTAGCTGATTACAAAACGGTTTATCCCACTCACTGTCTTGTAGGTTTAAAAAGTAACACAATGCCAATATTAATCAGAATCCCTCTTGAAAATAAATCGAATTGCCTTCCATACTGTAGGAACATTTTAAATTGTTACTTCTACCCCAGTTACAGTCAATGTAAGGGAAACTAAATTTCTTTTACAAAAGCTGTTAGTATTTTTGCTGGCAGAGCATTTGTTAAGAGATTGTAACCCAGTAACCCATTAACCCAGATTGTATTCAACCCACTAAGAATCCAAAACTTGCCATAATGTTAAGTTAAACAAGTAAATGAAGCAAGGTATATGCTTATGTTTTTTAAGTTTCCTAGAACAATTTTATGGTTTAATTTATTTCCAACTGGTTGGTCGTCAAATAAAGTTTTTGATTTGTATACAGAGAGTGACAAATCTGCACATCAGGGATGTGGAGCATACTTTTGAGGGCAAAGGTGCTATTAGCCAAAAGAATGGGTGATTATAAAACAATTCAGATATATTGCGTGACATGACAACACTATAACTTATCCCAGTAATTTAGCTCTCAGTTTATAGGGTACATTGTAGTTAACTCGCAAATAGGAGAATACTGTTTTATATTGATAATGATCAATGCATTTTTTACGGTCTTGAACAAACAGTCCACAAATTCCAGTAGAGTTTTGAAATTAATTAGCCCTATTGTGTTAAACTGCATTTTAAACAATATATTTTTTCGCGTTGTTCACATCCGTAATAATAAATAACATTATTGATGATTCAATTTCTCGTCATCAGTGGCATCGCTTCTAACAATAAAGGTTAAGAAAACCAAGAATTAGGGTTAAATAATCCCTCCTCCCTTAACATAGATTCGACCAAAGGATATAAATAAAAACGAAATGAGAAATTCAGGGTTAGTCAAATGCTAAGCTGGAGCTGAGAAGAAGTTTTATAAATTGGGTAAAATTAAGAGAAAAGGTGAAATTAAGAAATTAGTATACAATGCACCAGTGGCAAGAATCCCGGGGTATTGGAGCGAGATACTGGGGGCTGTAGATCTGAATAAGAACGAAACTCCTAGTTTCCGCCCTCAAAAGGAACCTGGGGCAAAATTAAGACAAAATTACTACCGCTGCGAACTGCTGCAGTTCAGCGCTTCCCTTTATTAGCAGGGTCACGTTTATATAGTTCCCCGCCCAATTTTTCTTTTTATTTTAATGCGATTGGAACATGGTAACCTATATCGTCCCCAGCGCAAACCTCCATGTTTGGCATCGCCCCGAAATTTCCTGCCGGTAACACGGCAGCTTCCCCAGGGACAGGCGATGAACTAGAAAAATCTAATTGCCTACCCTTATTATTAGTAATGAGGGCAGCTTCCTCCGGGGCAGGCCTTGTTATAAACTTACCAAGTCATTATAATTTAGCCACGCTTGTAATAATTGTTTGATTAAGAAATAATAGAATAACCCAGATAAAAAACATAAACCAGTATGAAAAAAATGCATCATAGGTACATTGTACTATCGGACAAGAAATACACTGCGTACAATTCTTAAATTAAAACCAAATTTGAGAGCAATATACGAGTAGAGTGACACAATGAAATATTAAACTGCAGCTCAAACAGGATTTACACAATTTAAAATTGTAACAGATGTATTGTTTTCCGAGATGTCAACCCTTTTAAAAAATGTTGTGCTGATAAAATGTTATCATTCTTACATTACTACGTACAATATTGATGATTTTATACAATCTGTTTCATTTATTGACGTATAATTAAACTATATGCAAAATAAATTTCATTTGCTTTATTTCTGTTCTATCGTAAATATACATGATAATATATAATTGCGCATTATAAAGCATAACTTTAGAAAAAGAATAAAAATCAAATGGGAAGGCATGGAGCCCAGAATATTATTGATTTCACTGTGTCTTGTAGTTAATTATGTGCAAGGACAGGGAAATATTCTACAAATTCTCCGATATACAACAGGATTTTCTAAGGTAAAATTTCGTATTTTGATCCCGGGGAAATATTTTGTATTTCTTCTCATTTATTATCTAATATTTTAAACTAGAAAATTGTTGACTGTTTAAACTTGCGTGAAAATATTGCTTGAATAAAGAAAAAAATTGAATAAAAAGAATGTATAAATTATCATTAGTTTGTTCACAAACATTTGTTTTATCTTAAAAGTGAAGTTATTGCAAATGGCTAGTAAAGGTAAAAGAAGGATATGGAGAAAATTAAGAATGCTAAAATTTCTACATTTATTTGATTTTCCATTTCAAATTAAGATTGTATTTATTATGTAGTAGTTAAATGAGTAGTTAAATGATATTGTTAAGTCAATGTATCAGGACTGATAATTCAGCAACCTTGTAGTAAACCATCATGGTAAAATTACTGAACTAAAACAAATAGCATAAATGGCAATCTGACTAAAGCCAGACCTCTGATTACGATATCGCAACATATAAAAAAAATCTGGCAAAGGATGGAATATCTAATTTTATTAAGATTGTTACGAAAGTCATAAAGGGACACATCAATTTTTCAAAAAAGTAAAAAATAAGATCTAAAATTAGACAATCCAATTCCACGGATTACTAAATCGTTCCCTTAATGAACAAGCATTCTGAGAGTATTGCATAAACAATACATGTCCCCTACCGGGGTTCCCCTTTTCTCTTTGGGGTGTCATTTTATTAGAGCCTGTGTATGAAAAATTGTTACTTAAATATGGACTTTTAAGTTGTTACTTGAAAATGAATGAAATGTATGTCTTACAAAAAAAGACTCGTGACGTCTTTGAATGCCATTTGATACATACAAATGCTTTTGATCAGAAGAGCTTTTTTGCGTAAACAACAATGGTTGAACAACAAATTTATACCAGAAAAAATCAAACTTGATCTATATTTGTCACTATAAAGGTATCCAGTAAGATTCAAATCATGATGATCTTGTTTAGAACATGAATCCAGTAGTAGGACATTAATTTTGGGCACCACGAACCCTAATGTGAACCCAATTATTAAAAACAATAAAAATACCACAATTCCTTCAGAAATAAATGAAGTAGAACGAAATGCAAACTTGATCTATAAGACTATAACTAATCAATTTATGAAATCTATCCAGCAAGTTTCAAGAATATAAATGTAGTGCATCATGACATAAATGTAGTGCATCACGAACCCTATATTTAACCCAATTATATAAAAAAAAACCATAATTCTTTCAAAAATCAATAAATCAGAACGAAAAGCAAACTTGATCTTTAACTACTTAAGGTAAAGTCTCATACTCAAAACCAGCTCAATATCTGCAAGCGTTTAGGAGAAAAGTGCGGAAAACCCTGAAAAATTGAAAAGGCCGTAATTCCGTAAAAAAAATAATTGAATCGGAACGATATTCAAACTTGGTCTGCAACTGATCAAGATACAGCCACGTACCAAAAATCAGCTCAATATCTGCCAGCGTTTAGAAAAAAAGTGTGGAAAACCAAGTGGGACAGACTGACAGACAGACGGGGACAGACAGACAGACAGACAGACAGACAGACGGACGGACAGACGCAGAGGAAACCTATAGTCCCCTTCGGTTTCACCGGTAGGGGACTTATAATTCGAGATCTCGAATTTCACAATCCGATCTTACAGATTACTAATTCACCCCCTTGATTCATAATTTGAGATCTCGAATTACATACTGATAATTCGTTTTCACAGATTAATAATTCGAGATCTTGATTTGTTACAACGTCAGTCTTATGATTTCGGCAATCTGTGCTCATGAATTTCATCACATATATGTACAGATACATCCAAGCATTTTAATCAATTAGTGCGTTCTATTTATTTTGTTTCAGCAACTGGTCATTTCCAACCTCTTTCATAACTAATTCAACGTAAATTTATTTTAGAAATATTATGATTACACAAGACCCATATTCACTTTTACTATTTAAGACTTTCAATTATTCTAATATACATTCAACACAAAAACCTTTAAGAATTTTTTTTTGAACAAATATCAGTACTAGCATATGGATTTGAAAATGTGCATGTATTTTTCACATTTTGGACTGTAATATGTAATAAAAGGTAGGATGTAAAATACTATAATATTATATTCTTTACGATATGAACAGATAAATAATTTTAATGATATCATGGGAAGGGTTTACATTCCGAGTGAACGAATCATTTTGACTAAGAGAATGAATTATACAATCTGAGATAACGGATTGTTTAATTTGAGGGAACAAATTGATAGTCTGTGAGAATGAATTGGCAATTCGTTATAACAGATTGTCAATCCGAGAAAATGGATTGTATAAACTGAGAACTCGCTTTACTTTTATAATTTTTTAAAAATTCTATGTCCCTTCATGGTTTTCTTTGATTGCATTCCTGCATGACTGCCAGGGTTGTAAAAAGAAAGGAGACAATAGACTGCAATGTTACTTCAGGGCAAAATTCCTGGGGCAAGGCTGTTCGTGAGCATGGGAGTGTTGATTAACCATCCAGTGAGATTGACCACCCATGTATATATGATGTACGATAATTGGAAAGTGTCTGAAAAATTGAGAAAAAGGAAATTCTAACCACATGCTTTATGCAGATTGGAAATACAGCAGCAGTCTAAAAAACAGCTTGTTCTATATCTAGGCATTCATTCAAATAGATATTACGTGTTTAAATAATGTCTTTGGGTGAATAATCAAGCATCATAAGTATTATGTGTTTCAAACAGTTATTTTTCAAAATATAAATCAATGCAATATCATGGGCATGACACAAATGAAATTTGACTTTATTTTTTTGAAATTTTAGAAATACAGAAATTTTCAATACCAAAACAAAAATTTACCTGTTCATTGGTGTCCTTACATAATAATTGGCCTTCGTAGTTCATGGTGGGCTTAGCAAGTTGGTATTCACAGATGAAAGTATTGTTGCATATGGTGCCAGCACCCTAAAAATTCTATGTGAAAGTGGTACATGTACACACTGGTACACACATGCTGAAAACAACTATCCATTATTATGGCAACTTTGATTTTACTTTAAACTTACGTGTGATTGTCAAAAGCATCAAAGTTCAAAAGCGACCAAAATTGGCTGAACAATACAAAATACGCACACTGAAATATAAAGATCTAGTACATGTGTTCACTTAGTTTACTTTTGAACGTGAACTAATTGCGTTTTAAACTTAATTCAGTCTATATACACGTAATCTCACCTTCTAATACCAATTGGGCATGTCCGTTTTACTTGATTCATTGATGTGATGATCTTCTTCGTTAAATAATCATGAAAATTGAAGTTCAGATTTCGGATCACCATCATGTTGTTTGTTTACTGCTACCATAGCAGAAACACGTGGTTATTTCAATTCGTATCAACTCATACAGTGATGAGTCGTATTTATTTATAAATGCGAGTTTTTGTATTGTTATATTTCGTGCCAATATAGATCTAATTAAATTGTAAATTAAATATACAGTATAACAAGATACAACGATATTTAAAATCTAATCTTTTTTTAGTAAAGATCGACGTTTAGGGATTCTACAATTTTTCTCAACATCAATACATGAAATTTACAGGTAAATATCAGTATCTCGAATATGGGATATCTCGAATACCCCGCTTATGTCGAAGTCGATCGCCGGTCCCGGCCGTATTCTCTATATATATGATTAAAAAAAACACCTGATATCTCGAACACGATAATCTCGAACACCCAGCTTATGTCAAAGTATATTCAAAGTCCCAAGCCCTACTTTTACCTGGCTTATATCGAAGTGCAGTGAATTTTTCGGTCTACTGAACACACCTGGCGTCGTGACTTCACACTTTCTTGCCAGTGGCTATTAATTAACACCTTCAAACTGGGGGAATCTTAATTAATCCCAAGCTCATGTTGGGCATGGGTGACCCTGTAATTGGTATGACAGCTTGGGTTCTGCTGTAGCCTAAGACCGATAAAACCACTCCCATCAATTCAGAAATTAAATACAGACAGTATTATCGATATTGCATTTAATAATATGCTCTGTATCATTAAAATCGTAAATTCACAAAACACAAAAGCTTTTTCAATATAAAAATTAAGTTGCAGTGCGTAATGCCCATTGCAGTGATTGATTACATCTATGTTTATCTGCATATGAATATATAACCTTGACCGCCATTTGCATTGTTAGTTTCGTAAATTATATGTTCCTTAGTAGTACTTCGTAATGTAATACATGTAAGCTGTTAATAGAATTCAAGTTCACAGTTTAAATACTGATTATTTTTTAGTGTTCTAAATAACATTTGCACTAAAGATTTCATCAAATTAAGTTTTAAAAATTTCGTCTTTTATTTTTCTTACGGAGAAGGTTCTTCATCTAACACGCTATTGATACATCCTGTTTGATCACGTATGCATGGTCTGGAAAATGTAAAATCACTGTATATGCAACAAGGCTTGTATATTAAATTGGATTACAATTATGTACGATAAAGAAAAACACCAACATTATTTTTTTTAATATTTATTGCGAATATGCTTGAATCTTTACCGTAAAGACTACATGTTTGGTAATAAAGGATAGTGTCATGCATGAAGATGTATAAGAAAAAAAACGTGAAATTATTGAATCGACTTTGGAAGATAACTTCGGATTAGTCGAACCCCCGGATATCTCGAAGTCGTGTCCAGGTCCCCTAAACTTCGAGATACTGATATTTCACTGGTACATCATTACATGTAGATGAATAAATATTAACATTTCATTTCACACAAAAGGCTGAACGATAGTATATATTTGTTTTATGAAATCTGTTTTTTGTATTATGCATTTATTTCAGTAAAAAATATATATTTAAATGGTCAAAAAAGTCTTATAAAAGAATTTGTTGTTTCGAGTACGACGCAACAATGTCGACTTTGACGTTACATGTAAATATTGACCGATTTTTCCATAAAAACTATGCGAAGGTCACAAATTCAAATTATCGTAATTAAGAAAATACTGAGCGTAAGAAGGCCTGTAAGGGCTTGTTGGAAAGGAAATTTTCTCTACTTTTACCGGCTTTATTTTGTTTTCCCTATTTCAACATAAAAATAAACGTAAAACTGAGCTTTGTATAAACATTACTAATAAAATGGAGAAAAAAAACACATAAGTGCAAGAAAATTCGTGTTTTTAAAATGTTCTTTAAAATAATTACAATAATTTTTACATATATTAAAAGCAGAGAAAATATGCTTTAAGAAAATACTACACTTTCTTTATAAAGACAATGAGGAAAAAAATGTCAATCGTCTGGAAATTCGGCATTTGCTTTGGAAAATTAGGCCATTTTCAAAAAGTCATGTTTGTCTTTACAACGTAAAATCGATTAAATACCGGCAATCAAGACATAATCTTTTTAGATATTGTAAAAGTAAAGAAAATTTCGAAAAAGATTATATATAGTTTATATACCTTCATGCTACCATAAAATAGATACGGAGATCTTATTTTCGCGAAGTCGTGTTTTAACGCGCCACCGGTCAATTTGACCGGTACGGAAGTGAAGGGGTTAAATAAGATAGGATATGCCCTTATACCGACTTGATTTTGTTGATGTGATTCATTACCATGAATGGGAGAGAACAATGACGTCATAATATGACGTCAGAATGTGCACTTGCATTAATAAACTGTGGGTTCTAAGCATGTATAAGAAAATCTATTTGAACTTTCTCTGTACAAAAAATATACAATCTATGATTTTTTATTAGCTCACTTGCGCAGGAAACAATACAAAATAAAAGCAGAGCAAACATGGACCCCTGAAACATCAGAGATGGGATCAAGTCACATAGAGGAGTAAGCATCCCCTGCCGAACGGTTTCACCCGCTGTGTGCTCCTTATCTTGATCAGGAAATAACAGAAAAATCTGTCGTCAATACAGTGTATAAATAATGGACTAACAAGTGGTATGAAAAACGTCAGTCAGCATTTGATTTGACTCAATGATAAATTGTATTTGCTGACAAGGTCATTGTATCGACCATAAAACTTATGAAATGATGACTTTAAACGAGACGGCTGATATTCTTGTATCATCAACTTGCTTGTCAAAAATTTACCTCCTTTTAGATATTGTTCAGACGTAGAGCAAGCTCTTGCGTATGAATTTACTGAGATATATACACTCTGCATGCAGGTGTGACGAAGGTATATTGCTGCATAAGTAAGGGAAGTTGCTAATAATAGTTTTATCTGCAAACTTTAACCTTTACCTTTATCTGCAAACTTTGACCTTCAAAAGATAGAGACTTCATATTTGGTATGCATATTTCACTGATTAAATTCTTTTGAACGAAGAAAGATAGAGACTAAATACTGTATACAGGGAAATCATCGCCCCGTTTAATTTTTGCCCCTTTCGCCCTCGTTGGAAGTGAATTTTAAAAGGGCGAATATAAAACGGGTTGAATTCAAAGTAGGCAGTATATAATATCTTATTCAAAAATCTTTCTGGGCGAATTTAAAACGGGGCAAACTTGTTTCCGAATGTGAAAGGGCGAAAATAACACGGGGCGAAAATAACCATGTATACAATGTTTAGCATTCATTCACCACTGATTACGTCCTTTCAAATGATACCAAGGTCAATGACCTTGAGACCTTCACTGTATCCTATATGCTAAAATAGCCTGTTTGAACCTTCACCATAATTTGAACTATGAGAGATAGAGAATCCTTGTTTGGTTTGCATATATCACAAACTTTCAAATGACACAAAGACACTTTTGAAATATTTCTATAATTGGTAAGCAGATGGTAACATCAGAAAATATTTAACTTTTTGTAAAATAAAAAGTAGGTGGGTTTGTATTGAGATGTACTTACAAATTTTCTCTACCAGGGAAACATGGGGGAAACTACACATTGGTGGCTTCCATGTGGGGAATCTATATGGAAACCACTGGGGCATGTTTCCATGCTTTCCTATCTTGGTAAACTTACGGGAAACCACAGGTTGGTTGTTTCCATGTCTGGAATCTATGTGAAAACCACTATGTGGTTTCCATAAAATGGAACTATATGGAAACTACTGATGTCACGATTCCCATATGTTTCCATCGGGTTTCCAAATTTGGGAAACTTGGCTTTTCACCCAGTATCTAAAAAATATGATACACATACTTCTGATCATTGCACAGCGGAAATATATTATTATTTTTTAGACAGAAGTCTTGATTTTACCATAGAGGTCAGAATGAAACCTGTAATTTCTGAAGATAAACTTTGAGATTGATTAGCGAAACCAATTGATGCCTTTGCTAATATTTAATGCAAAAATTGAATCATTGCAAATAAAAATTCTTAAGGCATGTACTCTAGTTTTTAAAGCAAAACTGTATTATAATGTTAATTTCAATTTTCAGTTTGCGCAGCTGGTTACCAGAGCACAACTTACGAGGATGTACGAGTCCCCAACTACCATGACGGTGTTTGTGTTTACTGACACGGCTTATAATCAGCTACCATACAGAGAACGTAACATAATAGACAGCTACACAGAAACTGAGCTCAAAGATTACCTCAAGTTCTGTACAAGTAGGTATTTTATTTAAAAAAAAAATACATGTATTTCTTGAACATATTATTCTTACAGTGAATTATTGGTTAATTTGCATGCTCAATAAATTATACAAACTCCTTATCCAATGAATGAATTTTAACTCAGAATTGGATGAATCTACTTTTTAAATTTAATAACCATGATGAAATCAATTTTGATCTTTATAATTTATTCTATTTGATCAACATGAAGAATTAATTAATTTAATAAGCAGTATATTGAAGACTACACCATTTATGAAAAAAAAAATAAGGTATAAATGACCCTCTTGTAAGAAAGATAACTCTTACTTAGGAAATGATATTGTGGTCATTTCTGTACAATTTCAGCCCTCAACGTGTTCAGACTGGAATCTTCTATGTTTTATTATGATTTTTTAAAATTTATTGGTAAATTAATATTTAAGCATATAAATTAATGAAAAATGAATATAAACTTTTAGTTTAACCAATGCATGCATGATTTTAAAATACACATGATACAATGTAACTATAATATATATTGCCTTTGCTTACAATTTTTATTGCATTTCAAATTTATAGATTTAAAACCAATCAAGAAAAAGTCCATCTTCTCTTTCATTTTGCTATTGACTACATGTATATATTTTAATACGCATACGTACAAGTACAAGTTTTCTGTTCACATTCATTTAGCACAAGTATACCTATAATTAAATAAGGAAGAATTGATAAAGGTTCAAAAACTTTTGCACAATCACATGCATCATGAACCTGAACCTAGTTTCTAAAACTCCAAATGAATATCTCTATCACATGTTTATAAGTCAAAGTGATTTGCTTGGAAGTGTCAAGCACATTTTTATAAAATCTCATTGTCTGGAACCTATGTATATAGAAAAAAATATCAGAATTTTTCTCTTTGTCCATCCAATTTTGATATAATGCTATGACCATTTGTTTTCGGAGAGTGACGACCTACAATTAGGTCACGGTGACCTACTTTCGACATTTTATGGCTATCTTTAAGTATTTCCAGTACTTATTGGCTTAGAATCATCAAACTTTGTCAGTTGATGCATTTTGGATTGTCCAAGAATGTCGACCAAAAAGTAGGTCACGGTGACTTACTTTTGACATTTTATGGCTATATTTATGTATTTCTAGTACTTATTGGTTTAGAATCATCACACTTTGTCAGTTGGTGCATCTTGGGTTTTCGGAGAATGTCGACCAAAAAGTAGATCACGGTGACCTACTTTTGAATATCTCAGGTATTTATTGGCTTAAAATTATCAAACTTGGTCAGCAGATGCATCTTGGGACTTAAATAAATGTCAACGAAAATGTAGGTCACGATGACCTACTTTCGACATTTTATGGCTATATTTAAGTATCTCCGGTACTTATTGGTTTAGAATCATCAAACTTTGTCAGTTGATGCATTTTTGGTTTTCCGAGAATGTCGACCAAAAAGTAGGTAACAGTGACCTACTTTTGAATATCTCAGGTATTTATTGGCTTAGAATTATCAAATATAGTTAGCAGATGTATCTTGGGACTCTGAAAAATGTCGACTAAAATGTAGGTAATGATGACCTACTTTCGACATTTTATGGCTATATTTAAGTATGTTAGGTATTTATTGACTTAGAATCATCAAACTTTGTCAGTTGATGCATTTTGGGTTTTCCAGGAATGTAGAACAAAAAGTAGTACTAATTGGCTAAGAATCATAAAACTTTGTCAGGTGATGCAACTTGGGTCTTAGGATACTCAGTGTTAGAGGCTTCAAATAGAAGTGATTGATTGTACAATTTATCAGAAGAGCGATTCAAGGCCCTTGGGCTTCTTGTTGTAGAATCTATAAACTGAAAACATTATGCATGCTCATGACAGATCAGCAAACAAGTTTATTAAAATGATGAAAATAATATTACTAAATAAGGAAACTGAAAACTGCGGCCAAAGATCTCAGTAAGCTGTTAGGAACATAAGTGGGGGGGGGGGCATTTTTTAAAATGAGTTCAGGGTCTAGTGAAAACTTGGATATCAATCATTAGACTGCATTTATATCCAATTCGGAAATGAGACGGTAATTTTTCAAATACAGATTGAGAAACAATTTTCAGTTATCAACATGATCAAAGATGCTTGTGAGAGGGCAGTTTTTACGATAATTTTATAAATATAAGATGCTCCTATATCACATATATCCCTTCTTCTCATCACATGACACTAGAAGTATAACACACTCACAAAATGATTTTCTACATGCATATTTTATGCACTTATAAATTATGCTAGTCAGAAGCATTGTGCACGAGTTGGACAATGTTTGGTATTCTTGCCTCCTACTTTGTGGTTTTCAGTCCCAGGAAATCGCGTACCCACCTCAGCTATCCAGGACAACCAATACGTACGGAGCAGCGACTCTAACGGGGACCGCCTCTTTTTCAATCGCGTCCAGAGAATGGACACTGTAAGTCACTTTTTATTTACTTGTATTCGGAACGCATTGTGGTCAGAGTATTGTATTTTAATTTTACAGTCTATGGCTCGAGACTCAACACGGGTTCCATGAGGGACGATATACAATTCCGCAGCATGGACTCCAACGGTGACAAATTATTTATAAATAGGAAACAGCGGTTGTACACCGTAAGTGTTTGGTCGGTGTTGTAGCATACTGGACTTGACTTTGACTTTTCTGCTTATTATCTAAAACACTGTCAGGTAAAACCTACAGGCATATTAAGAATTAATTTTCTGACCTCGACATTTCCCTGTTGACCTTGCCCTCACTATTCAGGTATAACCTACAGGTATAGACCTTGACATTCCCTGTTACCTTGACCTTGCTAATACTGATAACCTGTATCTTGAATAAAGAAGCAATTAATTAAGGTACAAAGTTCTTTTCATGTTTCATGGAGCATTTTATTTCTTGTTGTTTTATACATCAATTTGCTAATTCCAGAAAATATGTCCTATTTATGGAAATGAAAAAAAGAAAAGTTATGTCCCCCTAATTAAGGAACCATCATTGAAAACACAAAATCTCTGTAGATCCCAATCTCAAAGTGGTTTTTGAAACTGCTATGATTTTTTATGAAGGAATATTTTGAAATTATGGCAGTTGACAAAATGTTTTGTAACAAAACAGGAAGAAGCATTGTTTTTCTTCATTAGGCCCTTTTGGCTCACCCCCCAAATTGTGACAATATGACCAAGGTGACTGACTCGGAATGTTTTCTTTTATAGCAAAGCACCATATGAATTAAATCCAGATTTAAACTTGTGACCTTTAAGTTATTTTGACAGTGTTTGAAAATTGCATGTTGTGGAATCACATAACTTTTACACTCTGAAAGCAAACAAAACAAATATTAACACAATGGCCGGTAACCTGAACCTGCAACTAACTTATTTTTAAGGCACTAATCTTTCAAAATGCTCTACACTAATATTACGTGTATCAGTACATTAGCTACAGAAAAACTGTATACAAGGAAATTCTGTCAATGTTTTATTTTACCCTTTTGACCCTTGTCACAGGTTAAAAAAATTAGAATGAGGCACCCTATGGGGAATTCAAAGAATGTTAAGAGCATAAGTTAATTGTTCAGACCTTCTACAGAACTGTGACATGGTGTGTTTTAAAAGGGAGCTGATTTTTTTATAAGTGGGAAAGAACGAAAAAATAAAACAAGAAAAATAAACCTGTATACAGTTTAAATCAAATATATATTGTCAACATA